GTTCTCCTCTGTAAAAAATGAAGAACGGCTCGTCAGTCCACAAACCATCTATCACTTCATGACAAAACATGATGACCAAGTGTGAATGTGAATAGTCTTTGGATGGTTTCCCCATTGCAATAAACAATATCAAACTATCTCCTGTGACTTTAATCTGATCATGGACGACAATATAGCAACAGCACACCAAGCTGTCAGTAGAGTTGGGACAGCGCAAGCTCAAATATGATAACAGAGACAGGCTGCATCGTTGCGCTGAGACTTTACACTTCGTAGTTCTTTATTTCTTGTAACTGGGATCCAGAACAGTTTATTCTAGGTCGATAAACCAACCATGGCCTTTTCTGTGCTAGTTTATTAAAACAGTATGGTCCCATTGGTCGCTGATGGTGGTACATAACTTATTCTCATTCACGGTTTTCACATACTTCATGAAGACTTTGAACCTTCTCACGCCGACAGTATTGCAGGCAGGTATTATAACAAAACTAAAGAGCAGTTGACCCAAAATCGAACCGGTGGGGACACACATTGTATTCTTAAAGAAGCATGATATTCTATGCAGTTCACTACTGCCTCTAGCTTTTGAGGTATGATTCAACCGCAACTTACACTGATCTCAGTTAATCTCTCTACATATCCCCATACTCTCATAGATCCGACTTATTCACACTAATAAAACAGAAAGGCAAACCAAGTTACAAATCTGAAATTCCAGTACTCACCAGCGGCCACCAGGATCAGAATCCTAGCTCGGCAAATGTAACAGAGTGGGTTTCCTCATCTCTTCCCACACTGAAAGCAAACAGTAAATTAGCAAAAACAAACTTGATTACTAAAGAAATAGATTCAAATTGGATTTACGAGTGAGGAAATCAACAGTTTTCTTTAAATTTTGAACTTGGAGTGAATCTGTCACTCAATCAATACATCTGTGAAATTAAAGTACTTTAGGCAAAATTATTCCAGTAATATTCGTCGCAAAACTGAACTGCGGTTTTTTAATTGATGTGCAAATTCTGCAGTTCAAATTTGTAAATCAGATCTACAATTAAAACAAGGCAGAATAGTTCTGAATAGTTCGTTCAGTTTAAACTCACTAATCTAGGTTGGCTCCTAGATTCATAGCCTTCAGCTTCCCTGTGAAAGACAGAATATACAAATGTACACAACCACTCTAAAGAGCAAAACAACACAATAGGCAAACAAAGCAATACAATCAAAAATATAAATCACAACCTAGAAAAATGGATTTCCTGCAGAAAAAATGCTGGAACTGAATGCCTTTGCTGAAACAAAGCTGAAGCAATAACTGAAAATTAAAAGCAGAACTTGCAAGCTGGAGTTGAATGGGGACTGAAATGAAGCAATTTTAAAAATGCCTCTCTTCCTGTTTCCTCCTGATTTTCTGCTGGCAACCAGCAGGTAGCTATGACAACATTCTCATCTTTTTCTTGGTTCATTAAACATAAAAATATAAACTGAATATACTTCTTTAAACATAATCAGTGAAACAATTTCTAATTTATGGACAGTGAAATATTTTCACTGAATTAACAGGTGTCTTGATTAGTCTTTCAAGTCCTACTGTTCAATTGTGTAAATTCTGATTCTAATTAAACAGCTGCGTAAGTTCTGACTCAGTTCAGGTTAAAACTCACAATAAGTAGCTCTTCCTCGATTCTGCGCCACATAGGTTTCCATATCAGCGTCCCCTGTAAAGGACAGAAATATGCAAATGTACACAAACCACACTAAAGAGCAAAACAACAACAAAACAGCAAGCGAAGGCGATAACAATCAACCATATGTATCGCAAACAAACCAACAGGCAGTGTGGTAGCGATGTCAAAATTCTAATGTTGTTGGTTATATAAAATATCAACTGAATATACTACTACTGGTATTTTTGTAACTGCTTCTTTAAGGCCACTTTAAACATGCTCAGTGAAACAATTTCTAATTTGTGGACAGTAAATATTTTCAGTTAATGAACTGAGCCTGTACTACGAAGAGAGTAGTAGTAGTAGTAGTAGTAGTAGTTGTAGTAGTAGTAGTAGTAGTAGTAGTAGTAGTAGTAGAAGAAGAAAGAAGAGAGTAAAAGCATCATTTACTACTGTCAGGAATCCTGTCAGATTAAAGAATCTGTGTTCAGTTCAAATGAAGCTATAATAGTTATTATATATTTATTTAGTGTGATAAACTCTGTTTTAAAACAGAGCTGCTAATAAATGCACAGAGAGCGGACACATGGAAAGACTCAAACAACAAAATGATTCCACTGATCTATGTCTGCTGTAACATCTACTGGTTGTTAATATTTATCACTTTATTGTATACTCTTTTGTTCCCATCAGGATCCTGTAGGAATGATGACAGTGATCTGATTGGTCAGTAGTTTGGTGATTTCCCCAGGTAAGAAGTGAACCACTGTCGTAGGACTGAAAACCTGAAGTTACCTCGATAACCTCAAATCCTGCTTCGTAGTACAGAGCGTTGGTGTTTTAATCAGTCCATCAAATCCTATAGTTCAAACTATAAATTCAGATCTTATTATACAGCAGCATATTCTGACTCAGCTCAGGTTAAACTCACTGTTATATTGCTTTAGTTCTGCGATGCTGTGCCTCACAGATTCCAGATCAGTGCCCCCTGTAAAGGACACAAACATACAAATGTACATAACCCACTCTAAAAAGCAAAACAAGACAGCAAGCGAAAACAATACAATCAGACATATATCACAAATGTGGCGGCAGAATAGTTCTGACTCAGTTCAGTTAAACTCACTGCTGGGTGAACAATATGCAATGCTCCTGATCAACTGTCGAAGTTGTGGATCAGCTGTCACTGTAAAAGACAAATATACAATATATTCATTCATTACCACTGAAGATAAAAGGACACAAATGTATTTAACTCAAATACATGCATCCATCCCTGCATTAAACACATCATTTCATGTGAGTGACGTCTTGCTGATGATGATAAACATCATAGTGTGTGATGATTCATGATCGTTCTCCTGATGGATGACAACTGATTTCAAAGCTCCATATTTTCTTCTTCTTCTTCTGTGTTTTATTTGAAGTGTTGATCCATAAGAAGATATAAAAACCATCTCCTCTCTCACGCTTCTCTCTGGAGCTCTAGTAACAACAGGTCGGTGAGCCAATCAGAAGAGAGGAGGCTCTGAGCCTCTCTTTTTTACAGTGTTTGTTATAAGAAAGAGAATCTATCATCCATTATTAACCTCAAACTTACAAATTCACAACTAAACTGACAAATATTTCTCTGAAATAAAATGTGAGTTTGTATCTACACAACACTGTAATTGTAGATGTTAAAATGCATGAGAATATTTATGAATCTGTTCAGTTTAACTTACCGTAAAGTGTCATGAAGCCGAACAGAAGGAAAACTGTAAGGAGCACAAAAAATAAAAAATATTCATTCATATAAGTTCTTAGGATGCAATGGGATATGCGATCACAAAAAGTCACATTACAGTTTGATTCCTACTGTTCATAGATAAAACAGTCATCACACAGATTCATCTGAATGTGCAGTTGCAGGGCTGTAACAAGGACCTCAGCAGCTCGGTGTAACTCTGGTTCTCACCTCATTACTAAACTGGTTACCAGAGAATCAACGGACAAATACTATACGGTCCACAAATCACAGTTTGGGTCCTACATACATATCAGCATGCTTCTTCTGTGCTAAAACAAATAATAAATAAAAGAAATAGAAATTAAAACCATCATCATCATTAGGAGAATTGTTCCCATATTTCAGGTGGTGAATTCATCTGCAAAGTCTGTGTCTATTCCCTGTTGCCTGAGCCAAAAAAGCTCCCGCCAAAATATATTGAGTGGTGACAGTAAAAGCTAAAGGGTGAAAGTAAAAGCTGAAGGGTGAAAGTGAAAGCTGAAGGGTAAAATCGTTTTTTATTCTTTTGTTTATTCACTTTTATATGTCCAGTTATTTTCTTTTTCCTTTTTAAATTAATTATTTTTTATGGCACTCCCATGACTCCATACTATCTGGACAAACCACAGACACATTATCAGGATCAGTTATTTACAAAACTGAAAACAGCATGTGCCTCCATTTACAGATAAAGATGTTCATGCATTTTCTCTAGAACCTGACTCCTCTGGATAATGTTACAGTAACTAATGATACTTATATTAATCACCAATTAATGTCTTATTCATGAATTTTTTGAGCTCTGGAAATCAAACAGCTTTTAGCTCAACAACACATTTTAGAGAGAATAATATATTAATACTATAAATAATATTTATATACAACAGTGTGAGAAGACTCACCAGTTTGTTTACTGGCCATGATGCTGTTCGTGAACTGGAAACCAGCTGCTGGGTTTAACAACCTAAAAGGAAGAAATGAAAATGTTAACTAGGTGTTAACTAGTTTAACTTCAGTGTTACATCAGTTAACCTGAACATGATTGAGCAGAATAAATGTCTGACTCTAACTGACGGTCGGTTCATGAATTCACTAATAATAAACGGTACCTGATCAGAAAATCGAAATACAGGATGATCCGTGTTTTTTCCTTTGATAATAAGTTATACTGATCAACTTACAATGCAGATATATGTTTACTTTCCTTTCAGTTGAATTACTTGGTTATTTCTTGATGTAGTTGCAGTGGTTTTCACTCACCTGCTGAAAGTCTTGTTGCGACACAACGTGTCAAAGTGAAAATAGAAACCGTTATATAGCGGACGGTGAAGGAAGCAGGAAACCCTGAAAAGTTCTGACGGGAATAAATGTCTCAGATAAACAGGTGACTGATTATCTCATTATCACGAGGCGTTTAAAGCAAGTATTTTGGAAAATGTTAAAATATTGCATATTCAAATATTTACTTTTTAGACTGTCAGCTTTATTTATGTATGTATTTTAGCCTTTTGTTCTTCTTTTTGCTGTGTATCATTAGGTTACTGAAGTTAAGTTAATTAAACTTTGATACAGAAGAAAATTTAAAAACCTGAAAAGTACTTCCTGTCCCATTAGTCTATTGTGTTTTATCATAAGATAACTCATAATTACAAGACAAGATGGTTCGTGCTTTTTTTATACAATGAGCTTCAGTTTTTGTAAAGATTTACTCCACTTTCATTATATGCAGAGATAGATAGATAGATAGATAGATAGATAGTATATATTATATAACTTTATCATTATGAAATATTAAATTCATCCTAAACCACCTTAAAGTGTATGAGCACTCACATGAGAGAAGAACAAGATGCAAATCATGAAACGTTTCTGAAAAGACTAGAGCTCCACCTGCTGGACAAACAGTGGAACTATTTAACCATCCATTAACTGAAAAATAGTGATTGTGATTAAGAACTCATATTAAATAAAATGCAGGTTAACAGTTTGCAACATGTCTGAGCTCTGAACATACTGTTGTCGTTTCGTGTCACTGCTGCAGGTTGTTCATTCAGCTCCGTTGTCGTCTTGGAGACAGTGATCTGTGGAGTTAATGTTTAGTTCAGGCTCTGTCAGGCAGTGTTGGTGAGGACCTGCTGTGATCTCTGCTGACCGTTTTCCTGTGTTTGGATCCACATGTTTCCACGTGATAACTGAAGCGTTTCCTTCTGTCAGATCACAGATGCTAGTGTCTCAGACTGCTGCTTCCAAAAGAGACAATAATTCCTCCTAAAGCTGATGCATGCTGATGAAACAAAATGTGATGCCCCTGTAAATGCCTTAATTATTGAGATTTACGAACAACACATATAAAAACAGTGTAAAAAGAGATGTTAACTGATGACTAAATCACAGCAATGCTATTTAGAGTTCAGGCCGAACAGTTCAACTGTACAAGCAGGTAACAACAGTGGCCACGGGAGATCCTCACCAACACACACTGAAAGACATTATGTCAAGTACTAAGCATCAGAGGGGTCACCTGACCACATACCTGCCAGGTATCACATCAAAATAAGCAACTCTTCCTGTAAAGGAAACACCGACTCACTCAGGTGTTTCACTTCATTCACACAGCGAGGAAACACGCAAGGTGATGATCGGTTCGGTGTCTTGACAACGAGCAGTTGGGGACTGGACGCATACAGTGACCTTTATTCAATATCTGGTTTAAGTCAATAAGACATAATCTATTCATCTTTGAACTGAATGTTAACAACTTTGTTTGAAACCAAAGGCTGAACTTCTCTTCATTTCTTTATTTAAACACTATGTGCATATGTTTTATCATTCTATTATATCATCATGTCTAATTACAACTTCTGCTGTAGACAGTAAAGAAAAAGCTTTAATCCGTTAGGTTTACTCTCTGGGTAGTGATTGGCTGAATGAGATGTGTCATCGCCCATTTCCTTTTTGTCTGTCTCTTTTTTGGCACCTGACACTTGACTAATAAAACTTCCTTACAGCAAGACCTGAGCACTGAGATGGCTCGTATCTTAATATTCTGAGTTACCTCTGTCTTCATCGGAGTGGAGAGATGACAGGAAATGAGAGAGGCCTGCAACAATTGTCTCCCAGCTTGACTCAAACTGGGCATGATGTGGTTTAAGGTCAGAGTCTTCATCTGGAAACTACAGGGAAAACATTGGAACATTGTCTTCAGCCAAAATGTGCTGCCAGGGGAATTTGAATGATTCCTGTCTGCCATCACTTGCCAAGGACGACCAGTGCCACAGCAGATTTCAGTCCAAAAACAACAAATTTATTCACCAATCACAAACAAAACAGTCATTCTAATTAATATTCTACACATACGCTCCACCTCTATACATGCTTCTATCCAAAGTAATTTACAAGTGAGGGACATATAGTGACGGCGAAGTTAAGCTTTATGAACCAGTGAAGCTTTCAACACAGTTGTTTTAAAAAAAGTGGTTCATTACTTGCTTTTCAAATCAGAGCTCAATGGCGACCTCTGCTGGTCAAAGAGACGAAAAGCGCTGGGATGCAAAATGGCACCACGACACTACCACTGTGCCATTCAACTGCACATCACTTACACAGCTTCATATATAAACAACTAACTTACCATCAACAAAAAGAAAAAAAAAAGAGGAAAGAAAATACAGACTTCTTACCTGCCTCCCTCGCATAAACAGGAGTTTCTCACCAGGACTACTCTTATGTACAATATATGATTATTACTCCAAAACAGTGATCACATTAGGGACTTTAAGCAGCGATGGTTGAAGTGATGACTGCGGTGTCCGTATACATACCAGTGCGTTGCCATAGTGATGGAGATCAAAGATCACTAAGCAACATTTAACTCCAACAACGGCTACTTCACTACTTCAGGAAACTGAATCTGTTCTGAAATGTTTTTTAAATGGCAGAGAGCTCTTGATATTTGCTTTAGAGACAATTTAATATCAAATCAATCAGTTTGTATACCGTGTCTGTTTCAGCACCACGGACAGCGTCGTGTTTCATCAATACACAGAGGATGGAGGTTAACAGTTTGTGCTGACAGGTCTATGAATAAACTGGAAAAAATCAGTGAAATTAGGAGGTATCTTTAACAAATATACTCATAATCCATAAAACTACTGACGGTATAATTTAATATAAATGAAATGACAGTGTCAAATAACTGTACGGCAAACTAAGTCTTTCTCCTATAGTAGACAGTTTGGCTGCAATGGTAGGAAGTGTCAACTATGTCATCGAATCAGGCTGCAGCTGTCCCTTCAACCGTCGCTGCTTTAAATCCCTACTGTCTGGTTACAACAATGCACGTCTGATTGGAGAGCCGAGAAAGAGGCGACGCAGAGCCGACATCTGCAGGTGACACTTTAAAATAAATGGCGTCATAACCAGCACAAAAGATCACACTCAGAGGGTCACGTAATCATACACCGCTGACAGTGCGAGTTCAAGAACTTCTTGTCTGAGTGAATTTCTTGTAGATGTTCTGTCTTCTAGTCATTGGACGTGGCATTGTTTTTCAGCTTGTTTATGTCTCACGTCCTCCAGTTCTTCTCTCAGTTTTCTCATTTCTTCCTCCAGGTTAGGTTGACTTTGTTCTCCGTGTCGTTTGGTTCTCTCCATTTCAGATATTTTTGCTTCTAATGTTCTTTTCATCGCTTTCATTTCTTCATCTTTTCTTTTGATTAACTTCTGCATCTCTTCCTCATTTATAATTTGTTTCATCTCAGCGTTGTAGCAGCTGCCGCCATTTTGCTTCACCATGGTCTGGATTTTGGTCAGTAGCTCCTGGACTTGTGTGCGGTTTGATTTTTCTTTGTTATTAAAGACCTGATATCGTCCTCCACAGTCATTTATTAATTGTTTGACAAAGTTGTCACAATCTTTAAGGTGACTCTCAAATGGCTGATCGTCCAGGTCTTCTCCTCTGGTGAATATAATGATGATGAAATCTCCAGACTTTTGGCCAAAAACCCTCTTGATCAGTTCCACAGAGTCTTTCTCCTCTGGTGTGAAGTTCCCGATCTGCAGAACCAGTAAGAACACATGAGGTCCAGGAGCCAACATGCTGAAGCATCTCTGAAGCTCCTGTTTCATTTGATCATCAGAGAGAGTTGTATCAAACAAGCCGGGGGTGTTGACCACAACAACAGGCCGTCCATCAATCTCTCCAGTTGCTGTTTCACAAGACGTGGTCGGTGGTTTTGGGGCAATTCTGGGTTTGAAATGCTTTTTGCCCAGAATGGTGTTTGCTGTTGCACTCTTCCCACTGCCAGTCTTCCCAATCAGCACCATCCTGAGAGGCTCTCTGCTCTGCCTCTCATCATCACCTCCCATCCCACTCCTCTGTCTGACACCCTGAAGTTCAGCTTTGAGTTGTGAAACCTTCTCCATCTGAGCCTTGGTGAACATGTCCTTTGTGAAGCATCTGGATCCTTCAACTCTCATCTTGTCCACAGCCTCCAACACCTCAGAGATCTGCTGTTTGTTCTTGATGTTGACAACAACAGATCTTCCTCCACAGCTCTGAAGCAGCTCCTGGATGTCTCTGTTCTTTCTTACAAAGTCAACAACAGCTGGAGCTGCAGGATCTGACTCCACAGTGAACAGAATCATGGTGAAGTCATTGACTGGAGAGCTGAATGAGTTCTGGATGGTCTCTAACTCTCCCTTGTCTTCATCAGTGAGGGGACCCACAGGTAGGACCAGGATGAAGGCATGGACGCCCTCAGGATCACAGAGGGAGATACACCTGAGTGATTCCTTCATCACTTCCTCCTGAGGTTTTCCATACAAGGCAGGAAGCTCCACCAGGGAAACCTGACGTCCTCTCACCTCTCCCTGATGTTTAACACACTCTGATGAGCTGGAGACTGAATGAAGCTCTGTCTGACCTAAAATGGCCTCGGCTGCTGAAGTCTTCCCTGCTCCTCTCCTCCCACACAGAACCAGGTTTAAAGCTGGTTTCATGTGTTCAGACTTTGGTGTCATGGTTAAACCTGGATCCTCATCCTCAAACACATCACAGCTCAGATGATCTCCATTGTTTTCCTTTGCAGTTTGACCCAAGCGTGTTAATAGCTCTGAAAGTTCAAGGTTCTTCTGCCACAAGTATCTGTACATACATGTTTTGATCATGTCTTTTAACGGTGGATGCTGACTGTACTTCTCCATGAAGCCTGGCTGCTCCTCTCTGGGTGTTGATATCAGAACCAGTGAATGATCAAATGATTGATCACTGAAGAGTTTCAGGACTCTGCAGAGCTTCAGTTTGTGTTCCTCAGTGAAGTCTTCAGGCTGTAGAACCAGCAGGAACACATGAGGTCCAGGAGCAGAGAGACTCACAACACTTTTCATATGTTTTGTCAGTTTGTGTTCAGAGATGTTGTAATGAAGCAGATCTGGGGTGTTGATGAGAACTATGTGTTTCCCCTTCAGCTGTCCTCTGACTCTCTGACAGCAGTCTGGTTCTTCTTTAGTATTGAACACAGTCTCTCCCAGTATGAAGTTCCCCACTGAACTCCTCTCAGACCAGCTGTTCCCCAGCAGAACAACCCTCAGCTCAGACACTGAAATGAAAAACACTGAATTATACAAGACAACCATGTGTAAACTTGATCTAGTATCAGTAGCTGAAGCGATCAACCAGGGAGAGAATCACAGCGGTTTAAAGTTATATTTGGAAAAATCCTTTCAGCATTTAGGAAAGTGTATTTCTATTATTCTATTAAACACTGTCAAAGTTATTAAACACCAGAATATTTCTGACCCAGATTAGTGTGACTTACTGAAAGGTGGCAGGAACTCATAGCTTTCCTTACGCTTCAGATGGAGCAAATAATCTGTATTAAACACAGACATTAAAAATTTGTTTATTTATTCATTCCGTTGCGGTCTGTAATCACACCTTTTGATGACACGCAATGGTGGTATCAATATTATGTCCCACTCACTTATGTCAATACATGCTTTCCTTCCAACTTTCCATTTAATGTAAATGAAATATTTTTTAGCACATTTCCATATAACATTAACAAAGGCTAATAAAAAACATGAAAACAAAACCTTCAACTTCTTGTGGACAGTGTTGGGAGGGTCACTTATAAAATGTATTTCACTAAAGATTAAAGAAAACATACCCTTAAATATGATACAGTATTCTGTTCAATTACTGAAGTAACGTTTTTTATTACCAGGAAAGGCGGTTTTTACCTTCTGTTTTCTCACAGCATGAAATCGGTAAAAAGATAAAAATAATAAAGCTACAAGCAATAAAGCATCATCAAGGTCTGAAGTATTTTCAGAGATATTTCCTATTGCAATGATGTGGCGCTAAAGCATAACCGAATGTTGGCATGTAGACTCATTAAACATACACAGTTTAGGGCAGTTTGGCTAATGTGTGCTTGAGTGATATCCACTTCCTTTTTCATGGCAAAACATCGAACTTCACTGCGCTGCCAACTGCAGGCTATTCAATTAAAAACTCAAAAGCTCTGCAATTTAGCATCACAAAGGTCTTAAGATTAGACTGAGCAAATAACCCTAACCCTAACACCGGTCAGTGCTCAGGCCCTAATAATGTAAACCTGCAGCGCTGTATGGAGCAGGGAAGCTAGCTGACAAACCAAAAGGTTGTAGTTCTGAACAGGTTGTTTAAAAGTTCAGACATTAATGTGGTTATATACCTTATTAGATAAAAATAACTGGCAGAATGTATAGTATATAGTGGTTTCCCCTTGGTAGTTTGTTTGTTAGCTAGTCATGATGCTAACAGAATGCTAACAGCCTGATCTGCAGTAGCTAGTCGATTAGCAGTTGGCTAAGAAGGTAGCTCGCTAGGTAGGAAATGTGACCAGTTCAACAAAACTACTTTTAAATTAAAATGATTTAAGATAGTAATCCCTTCATGTAATTATTCATTTTAAGAGTATAACTGTGTTCTGATTACCACCTGTTTAAACTAACTAACTAAATACAGTTACTTATATTTTGTAACAGAAACAGAAATCCTTCTCTGCAACTGTGCTATTTGTTTTACAAACTATACTTACTAAAGTGTAGAATGATGATTAGAAACACATTGATAGTTGCTGCATGTCTGTGATAGAAAGTCTGACTGGACTCACGAGAAGCTGCAGCCATACTGTCACTCTGCTGAAAACCCACGACAGATAATGACCTGGATTATTCTGTATGCAGAGACCACTGAGGTTAGTGTTATTCACAAAGCTGTAATTCAGATGTACATGTCATTTGACCTGCATGTCAGGTGTGCTTATTCTACTCACATCCTACAAATATTTCAACATTTTTAAAAAAGCTGAATCTGTTGAATGGAGGAAGCATCCTTCGATAAATTTCCATAAACTAGAAAATCACTGTGAAACAAACAGGAACAGTTTTATTACATGAAGGTGCAGCAGCAATTATATAAATGTTTATTACTTCTTTGTTGGCTTTATCTTGGACTCTGTACTCTGGAATAAGGAGTGGTTAATATGCTGAGCAAATAAAGTGATAGAGGCATGAATAGATCAGATCAGATCTCCAATCACCAATAAAGACTATAAAAATCACCATTTCAAAACCACATTTCTATTCTGATGAACAAATCTGTGCAAGTTAGACAAAAACATCACTTCTGTATCTTCATAAACACCTGAATATACCTACCTGATCTTGTTGCTGTTGCCATGACCTGTAGGTGAGTTTCAGTGTCTTTTACAGCAGATTATTTCCAGTTGTTGTGAGTTGTCATCTGTGTCTCTGGTCCATCTGACCTGACATCGTCACAAGTCAACAGTCGACACAAAAACAAAAACGTTAACAGTGTAAGTTCTGTATGTAGCATTTTATAAACTAAATACTATTTACTTAATCATATAAAGTTATACAATTAAATAAACGCACAAACAAGTAGTTATCTTCACAGAACTGAACATTTCTGCTTCTATTATCCTGTGTATATTTTAATTTGTTCTCATGTCTTTTGAAGCCACTCACCTGGATTTGTTACTGCGTCAGTTCACCTTCGAGCTCCTGAAGGAAAGTACAGACTCCACACCGACAACTGACTCACTGAGAGATGAGCTACAGCAGCCACTGGTCAGAAGGTGTGTCACGACAAGGATCATGGACAGAAAAACTGAGACTTTGATCCTGAGATACATGAATTTCAAAATGGCTGTCACTAAAAAGCATGCAAGTGCATTATGGGTGAAATTCTTGGATTCTAAACCTGTTCTTTATGATGTGTTTTTTAAAAAAACTCTTTTTACGTTTGTGTGTGTAAATTAAATTATGTCGGTGTTGCATTGCAGTCATTTATGTGTTCGTATTATCTTTGGATTGTGAAACCATTTGGTTTGCTGTTGTCATAAACTTATAACAAGAAACATTTGACGAGAATGAAGAACACAAGTGATCCTAAAAAAAGAAATTGAAAAGAAGTGTGGCCTTTCGTGACCTCCTCCTGGATTCGTTAACACTGTTTTTAACCAAAAATAAATAAATAAATACAGTACGTTTCAGCCCATTTAGAAATTTAGGGGCGAGTTCAGGAGTTTTTAGAACCAACCATTTTTTTTTCTGAGTAGGTACCATGACATGAAATTGGCACTAAACAACAAATCTAACAGTCTGACTTTCATATCAGAGATTGCGGATTTCAACTCATCTCTTACCAAGTGTCAACTGTTTTTTTTGTTTTTTTAACAGAAATATTTTCTTGGCCTCAGCCAATTACCTTTTGTTCCCAATATTTAACCACAAAGGTGGCAGATCATACAGGCGATTATAAGGGAGGCAGTAACAAATAACTGATTTTGTTGTTTTATTGTTAGGATCTAGAGATTTTCCAGGTTAAACATCAGAAACAAGGACTGCCAACAGCCCAGCAAGAGGTGTGTTTGTCCAATTAGGGTTATAAAAGGAAGGAACTGTAAGGAGAGTAAATATGTCTGTTTTTATTTTTGTCCAAGTTTAAACAATGAAGTGCACCACCTTTATTTCAAACAGAATTATTCTGCCTTGCATAAAGAATAAGCATGGTATTAGCGTAACTTGAAAAAGACAAAAGCTGCTGATTGTGATAATGAATCTGCATCAAGTCTGAATTCTCTACACTGATTTTCAAGGAAAAGCAGGGAAGAGCTTGTCAGAGGGACCAAGGCACATTTTAAGCATACTCTGGTGCAGTTAACAAATATCACTGTATATCTTAAATAAACAAAATAAGGCTGGGTACAATAGATATCAATAGCACATGTATGAATGATATTGAAAACTTAAACACAGTTTAGGGTCTTATGGTCTGGATCAAGGTACATTTTAACTGTTTGCTTTTTTAATACAATTGACAAAGGAAGCACCAATGACTGATAATTTTTCTGTTTTGTTTTTTAAAATTTAAGCAAAAAACAAAAATTAATCTTGATTTCTTGTTTTCCATTCTTAATGATAAAACAAATTTACCACTCAAGTTTTTTTTTTTCATTTATGGGTAGCCACTCAACACTCCCTTCCTTGTGACTGGCTACTATGCACGATCAATTATGTTTGCAGTGCAATGACAACATACAATTATATATATTTTGTGTTTAACAGTGTTTTATTGTATTACCTCATGTGCAGCTGAATGACCCGATCGCTTCATGTCTGTTTTGAAAATGGAACCACTTAGTAAGTTTTACTGTGAACGGTTCTGTTCTCAATAATTAAACAAATGAATGGCATAGAACTGACAGCAAGCATGCCAAAAGTAGTTACAACAAAATGACCAGCAGGTGTCACAACCTCCTCATCAATGGGTTTGAATACTGTATGTCTCATATAATAGAAATGTGGATACGTTGACAGCCAGAGAAAAAAACCCCCACAAAAAAACCCCAAATATACAAATAAGCATCTATCAATAAGCTAATGAAACAATCTCCTTGATCCAGACCAGTTGGGCTTTAAGAGCGATCACAGAAATGACTGTTTTCTGTGACAGAAGCCCTAAGGGCAGCTAGAGCTGTAGGTCAGTCCTCAGGTCTTATTTTTCTGGACCTATCAGCAGCCTGTGATGGAGTGAACCACCACATCCTGCTCTCTGCACCTTCTGACATGGGGATTTTGGGCAAAGTCCTTCTTGGTTTGAATCTTATCTCACTGGGCGCTCTTTCAGTGTGTCATTGCAAGGACTCCGCTCCCCACTGGAGTGTCTCAAGGATAAGTACTGAGACTCCTGCTCTACACCATCTCCTTGGGTCCAATTATCAGCTCACATGGCTTCTCATACCACTGCTATGCAGACGACATCCAACTATACCTGTCATTCACATCTGACCACCCCACTGTCTCTGTGCGGATTTTGGCCTTTTTCATTTTTGCTTGGATAAAAGGAACGCGACCTTCATCCAAAGACTGAACACCTAGTCATCCTGGCCAATCAGTCTCTTTATCATGATATCAGTATTAAAATTGTTTTACCATGTTTTAGAGAAATCTGGTTGTCATGTTTGATGACCGGCTATCCTTCTCTAACCATACTGCATCTGTCTCCCAGTTGTGCCACTTTACTCTATACAACATCAGAAAAATCAGGCCTTATCTGATTCAGTACCCAGCTCCTTTCAATATTCACTAAAAAGTTAGAATCAAGCTCTTACTGGATTGTAGCTTCCATTAGTGATCATGTGGAACTACTTGATTTTTTTAATTTAGAGAAGAAATAATATGTAGGTATGCGTATAAGATAAATTTAGGCATTCTTCAGTAACAACATATGGATGAATACGTATTAAAAAAAAAGCAATAAAAAAATGCATGTTACTGATATTATGACTATGTGTTGTTTTATAAAAATGTACAGTGATATCTGTCAACAAAATCAGCGCAACATAAGTTTAAATATTTCATCTAACTTTTATACTCTTCCTCTTAATAAATATGATTTAAAAAAAACAAAAAAAACAAACAGAACTGTGGTAGTTTCCCCTCTATAATTGAATTTTTTACAATTCCATATACAACTTTACAGCTGAAGCAAAGAACATGTCTAAAGTTACAATTTCAACACTTATTATCACTGAGTCTGGGAAGTCAGAAAAATGGAAGAGGTATTCCCAAACACTACTCTTGTTAAATGTACAGAGTGGCTGGTATAATTGTAGCATTATGCAATATTAAATTCATCCTAAACTACCTTAAAGTATTTCACACTGTTTCATGTTTCGAATGATAGCACTTAACATTAGAGAAAACGAGAGGGAAAAACGGTAAATTATAAAAAGGTCTGCAGTATAAACTCTAAACAGACTTCATCTCAGTGGTTCCACTTACTGGACACAACGGGTGTAAACAAACAAGAGATGTGCAGTGGAGCTTTGTGGATTTCTCCTCAATTTAACCATTAACTGAAATATGGTGATTGTGATTAAGAACAAGAAAAGAAAATATAATGCAGACCAACAGTTGGCAAACACATCTGAGCTTTGTGAAACAATATATTGTTCTTATTTTGTGACACTGCTTCAGGTTGTTCATTCAGCTCAGTGGTCATCTTGAAGACTGTAATTTGTGGTGGTGTCCAATTCATGTGTACTTAAGGGTCTTCCAGGCAGTGTTGGTGAAGACCTGCTGTGATCTTTGCTGACAATTTTCCTGTGTGGACCAACATGTGTCAACATAATAACTGCGGCTTTCCCGCAGAACTGTCTGAACTGACCAGTGCTATCCAGGGCAAATCTGAAGAGATTAGAAAAAGTCTTTCATAAGAGATGCCATTAGAGTTTGTCCATTCATCATCAAGTACAAGAGTCTGCCTCTGATTGCTACACCACCTTGGTGGAAAATTGTTTGTAGCCTTTATCCAGCAGTCATTAAAAATACAGTATATACATACAGCATACAACACTGACAGTGTGAGTACAAGAATTTCTTGCCTTAGTGAATTTCTTGTTCATGTTCTGTCTTCTAGTCATTGGATGTTGCATGATTTTTCAGCTTGTTTATGCTTTATGCTTTTCAGTTCTTCTCTCAGTTTTCTTATTTCTTCATTTAGTTTAGGTTGATTTTGTTCTCTGTGTTGCTTGGCTTTCTCCATTTCAGATATTAGTGTTTCTAATCTTCTTTTCATCTCTTGCATTTCTTCATCTTTTCTTTCGGTGTTATTCTGCCTCTGTTTCATAATTTGTTCCACTTCCTTTTGAACTGCTTCCTTTGCCAGTTGGAACATCTCAGCGTTGTAGCAGCTGCCACCATTTTGCTTCACCATGGTCTGGATCTTGGTCAGCAGCTCAGGTACTTGTGTGCGGTTTGATTCATCTTTGTTATTAAAGACCTGATATCTTCCTCCACAGTCGTTTATTAGTTGTTTGACAAAGTCGTCACAATCTTTAAGGTGACTCTCAAATGACTGATCATCCAGGTCTTCTCCTCTGGTGAATATAATGATGATGAAATCTCCAGACTTTTGGCCAAAAACCCTCTTGATCAGTTCCACAGAGTCTTTCTCCTTTGGTGTAAAACTCCCAATCTGCAGAACCAGTAAGAACACATGAGGTCCAGGAGCCAACATGCTGAAGCATCTCTGAAGCTCCTGTTTCATTTGATCATCAGAGAGAGTTGTATCAAACAAGCCGGGGGTGTTGACCACAACAACAGGCCGTCCATCAATCTCTCCAGTTGCTGTTTCACAAGACGTGGTCGGTGGTTTTGGGGCGATTCTGGG